AATTCGTCTACCGGCCCGGCCCGGCCCGGCGCGGCCTTTTGCAACTATGCTATTAGCTGATACTTTTTTGAAATTTTGTAATATCCAGAAAAACAGACGGAGACTGAGACACACAATGCAATCATAATATGATTTCTTACCCAAATGAAACTGTATTTTTTTGAAATTTTTATTTAAACAACATTCAACTTATTTTCAGAAATACACGATCATAGATCCCTGAAAATACTAGACGAAATAATTGCAGATAAACTCAATTCTATTACGCGTCGGAGTGCCGTTAACCTGGATTTATCCGATTTTATTCACATTTTTTCTAATTCCGGCTGTTGGGGTTTGTCGTCAAATCAGTAGTCCCTATCCGTTCGGATCTGTTCATATCTATTACGCAAATCCTGCTTTTGGGGTGAGTAGCAGTTCTTTATGATTTTTGTAGTTCGGACGGAACTTCATGAAGTTCTCAAACTAATCTTGAGCTCAATTATCCCAATTCCGGTGAGAGATACTAAAATCCGCCAATTGATAAAATGTTTGACATGTTCACACCAACATTTTTAGAGTTGACAAATGTTTGGTATCTTTCAGAGAAATCGATATAATTGAGCTCAAACTCAGGTATAACAAGGGCGTTCCATTAGAATATTAGCGCCAACTTTGACATTGTAAGTACTGTATTTTTTGCAGTTTCATTCTGTTTGGAAATATGGATTTGGAAAAAAAACCCTGATGTTTTTGGCGTACTCAATATTCAACAAAAAAAAACAAAGTTATCGTATTTGTAAATCAGTTTTTTCCGCAAAATATCCGAAAATTAATTGAAACTATTCCCGAAAATTGCATTGCTTTTTGAGGTCAATTATCTCGATTCCGGTGAGAGATACCAAAAATGTGTTAACTGATAAAATGTTTCTCACATTATCACCAAAATTTTCGTAGTTTACAGGTTTTTGATATCTGTCAGAGAAATCGAGATAGTTGAGCCCAAATTGAAGTATAGGGTGGAACTCCATTAGAGCATTTAAGCTAATTTTGAAACTGTATTTTTTGCAGTTTCATGATGGTTTGAAATATATTGATTCTTGAAAAAAAATGTTGGTCGCGACGGACTTTAAAAGCAAACTTACTTTTTTTAGATCAATTTTTTTTTCGAAAATTCCCGAAAACGTTATTGTTGTTTCACCGTAAATTCTGTTATAGAGTGCATGCACTTTGAGCTCAATTATCTCATTTTCTGTATGAAATACCAAAAATTGGTCAACTGATAAAATGTGTATCATATTATCACAAACATCTTATGAGTTGGCAAAATTTTGATACATCGTTTTGGAACCGAGATAATTAAGCTCGAAGCAAGTGGCGTTCAGGATATGAGGTATTGAATCATGAAAATGTGATCTTTGAGATGAGTGAAGTTTGATGTGGATTTTTGAGAAAAAAAATCGAAAGTTCTTTAAAGTCTGCACTTTGAGCTCAATTATCGTAATTTGAAAACCTGTAATTTTATCAAAGCCGCAAAATTATGGGTATACTTTCTTATGGGTGATCTCTGATTTCAAATTTTTTGCAGCTCCGGAACTCCCCTCTATACCTTGGAAACACTCTGACATGGATGACATTATCAGTTATGGCAAATATAATACTTTTCTGGAAAGTGGCCAAAGCTAGAGCCCAACTGATCACTTTTCAGAGAAGTGGAGTCTCATATAAAGCCGAGTTATCACTGAGTATTACTACAGTAACCATGATACTGTTTTATGTGATCAATGGAACTTTCGTTGTGAGTTTTCAAATTTTGTCGGTTTCAAGTTCTCGAAATCAACGTTCGCTAAAATCATATGTTTGCTAAGATTCCTTTTTCAATATGTCTGATTTTTGAAGAAAAGTTATTTACTAAAATCACAGTTTAAATTGAACACAGCCCATTTTCAGGTAATGTACATTCTTTACTACGGAAAAGCGGCTTACTTCACCCACCTTGTTACTTTAAAATCCTTCGCTAACGACCTACAAACTTGTGTAATTCCATGGATCTTCTATTTGACTCATCCGGTGTTTAGGAAAAAGACGATCACAACTTCTGATGTTTTTGTTTCGACGAGTTCTTTCAAAAGACGAGTTATGAATTGATAGTTATAATATGTTTGAATTCGATGGACTTTTAAGCGTGTACCTAATACAATCCATTTAACGTGCATAATTATAATACTGTCTTGAAACGGTTAAATGAAGTTTTTCCTATGGAAACTGTGTTAGTGCAATAATAGAAAAATTTCATGACAATTTTGAGACAATACTATTTTAGGCAGTAATCATAAACCAACAGGAAGTTAAAGCAATCGATTGAAATTCAAGACGTTTTCGAATTAGTGATTTTCCCACCTTTTTTTTTCAAAAAATTGGGAAAATTGGGAGCATTTTAATATTGCAAAGTTCCAATTAACACACAAAGTTACCATGCTCTATTTATGCAATTCATTTCTAGGTCAATATAGTCATTTCTGTCCTCCATTTTTTAAAAATCGTGCAGCGATATTTTTGTCTGACAAAAAGAAGGTTGGAGAGCAGTGTATGCGAAGTGTAAAAGAGGGTGTCTCGGAGAAACGGAAGATTACGCATACGATAGAGGCGCAGATAAATTTTCTCCATACATTTTCTCCATATGAATTATAGTCGGAAGTTTTAAAAGTAATGAGTAAACTATTCTTCTGTGGCATTTTCCAAGATTTTTGGATTCAGAATCAATCTAAAAAAAATGGGATGTTCATCTGTAGTTACCAGAAATGAATAAGGCGGACATAACGTTGTTTTTTTTCTGAAAACAGGAAACGATTCTGGAAAAGTTTTGAGAATTAAAGGAGGCGAGACAGCAAAAATTTCGGGGGAGAGTTCGGAGGACGAAATCGCGCCGCGCTTATGTAGACCATCGGTCTTCAGGCGCCTTCGCGCCCCCGTAGCTCAGCCGGTAGCAGCGCTGTACCCCTGAGCTGCCTGTCATGAGTTTAACCCCTCATGGGGGTTCTCTATGCAAAATATCAGGAAAACTTTTTTTTGGTGTCTGGCCTCCTTTAACTAAAAAAAATTAGGTTTCAATCTGAAGATGAGAAATACAGTGCGTGTAATAAGGATAGGACCCCCTTTGATTTTGAAAAAAGTAAGAGAGATATCAAAATTCTGTGAATGCCATTCGATTCAAAATAAAAAAAAAACCCCCAGAAGCCAAATTTTTATAACTCTAGCACTTTCCGTACCGGTCCACCATCCAAAAGTCATTTTTTAGGCCGTGTAATAAGGATAGGACCACCTAGAATTTTTGAAGCGATACCCATTTTTTCGACTATTTTTCTTTTTGTATCACATTTATTTGTGCTGGTTTTATCGTTTTTCATAGTTTTATTTCTCAATCCACCTTATTTATCAAAAGTTCGGTCATTTTTTTTTGGATAAAGAAGAACACTTCTTAACAAAATTCAAGTTTATTAACAAAACTGGAAAATTCAGCGAAAAAAGACAATAACGAAGAGAAAAAATTAATAACTTGTTTCTCCTCCATTCTTCTGGACGACTTCGAACAATTTGTTGGGCATACTGGCCACGAGAGCTCTCAACTCCGCCGCTGTGATAGTGTTCAACTCGTCTTGCAGGATGTCCTTGAGCTGTTGAACCGTGTTGAACTGTCTTCCGTGCTTGTAAACGCGTCGAACCAGCAGTCCCCATAAATTTTCAATTGGATTGAGGTCGGGGCTGACTGCTGGCCACTCGAGATCCGTGATTATTTGTGCCTACACGCACTGTATTAACAGGCTAATTTTGATAATTCAAGAGGAGTCTGAACTCTTCAAGAGGAGTTCAAATTCCTAAAAACTACTGTACCCCGTTACTTCAGAAAGCATGCCGTAACTTCAACAAAAAGCTCCTAAAAATCTCCTGTCTCCCTTCCTTTAATTGATTTACTGTTTCTACGACTAATTAAGTTTTACAGTTTTCTTTCTTTGGTAATTGCTTTTTCACTTTCGGGTTTTCTTTAATTCTTTCTCTCATTATGTTCTCAATACCAAGTTTTCGCCATATTACATCCGGATTTTTTCATAAACAGAATATGGTATTTCCGCTACTTTATCTCTCATCCTTTTATCAACCTACATACACGAAAGTAAGGTATACGTCACGAGACAATGACAAACAGTTGATCTTACACATACTAAAAGAGTCATAACACCAAGAGCAAAAACTGCCAATTAAGAATCCTCTGGGAATTAGTGAGAATTAGTAGAATCACTCACTCCCTTCAAGAAGAGATGGACTAAAGAATAATAAGAGAGTGTTATTTTATTTCACTTCCGTTTTCTTCCCCACAAAAATGTCTAATTCCTTTCTATATCCGAATACAATTCATTTCGATCAGTCCTATATCAATTATCGATTTGATTGGAGCAACTTCTCCGTTCCTTTGGCTATTATCCCATGGATTTACATCATTCCAAGTTTTTCAGTAATCTGGAAAATCTGGAAAATTTACTGGACAACGAATCAAAATAAGACCGCAGATGTGAATCGTCATGTTTTCCTGGCAATATCCCTGTCACAGTTTGCATGCTTTGCCAATTTTTTCTTTGATTATTTCATGACACGACTTCCGGCAACTGGAATATTCACTTCGTATTGTGCAAGTATTCAACCGAACCATTGGTTAAAAATGATCATTTTTCTGGCATTGTACACGAATTACTTGTCATTGGCATTTCCGATTCTCCTTCCATTGATCAGATTGGTGATTGTGATATTTTCAAAAACACATCAAAAGGTTTGCATTTTTTGGGATTTCCAGGTTAATAGAACTGAAAAATTGTAGTATTGTATATAGTAAGTTGTACGTTCTTTCAGTGTAGAAATCATTGGGTAGTAATAAGTGTGGTCTTTGAAACAGTAAATGTTTTGGACTTTTAATGTTGTCTGGGCTGTTCAATACCGACCAAAATGCTGCCAACTTAAATTTTTGTTAAAAATGGTCAACTTTAATTATCTGAGAGTTCAGTAGTATGGTAATTAATTATCTGAAAGTTCAGTAGGTTTTGTATGTGGCTCATTGGTTTCAGGTATTCTAAACAAAAACATAGCGTTAAAGTTTGTAATTGACTACTTTTTTGTGAGAATTCATTAAAATAAGATAAACTAATCAAACGTTTCAGGAAGTTTTGACATTTGGTTGGTTTAAGGCGATATATCTCATTTGGATGAATTTGTACAAAGAATTTGATAACTACAACATTATAGTTCTATTTGCTTAACAGTCCTGAACATTTTCAGAATTATCCAGCAAAATTCACTATATTTTGTGACATTTAAAGTTGACCATTTTTCACTAAAAATAGTTAAAATTTATAAAATTTTTGCCGGTACAATATGTTATACCAGAACAACCGAAACAATGCGAAAAATTAAAACTAATTTCTGTTTCAAAGGCTACACAAATAACAAATCAATGTTATAATACTGACATTATCTTCGGAGTTTACCGTACACTCAAAATCCGCACGCTCACCTTGAAATCGAAATGCGACGTTTTTAAACTAAAATAGGTAGAATTAACACATCTTTGCAGAAAAATTGAAAATGTACTGTTTTAGGCATACTGAACTAGGAAAAAAAAAGAAAATTCCGTAAATCCCAAAAATTTTGAAAACAAAAAAAACCTGTTTCACCAAGTCTATATATGAAGGGTACACTTCTTAATGTAATCCCACACACATAAACAGGCGTTATAAAAATAATCTGAAATGTGGAAGAGAAATGCCGATGGCCGCGGCCGAAGGTTCCGCTACGAAAACTACCGTAACCCGACAATGATTTCTCGGATATTTTTTTTTGAATGTTAATGCTTCGCGACGTTTTTTCGCCCATTAGCTTAAATATTGCTACTCCGATAGCAAGACTTTCTCTGTTTCAGCTACTTGTATTACTTAGATTGCTTAATGACAGTGATTCCGATGAGTTCATCAATTCTTCGAAAAAACTTAAAAGAGCGCTCTCCGAATTGCAAAAGTCCATATTTTCTCTCTCTGCTCAAAATTCTGCCTACATTATAGTTAATGTAGTCGCTGTTTAAATTTATAACTGAATATCCATTAGCACTTTGATGACATGCATGCTGTCGAGGGAAAAACAATTGGGACAATCTAGAATGGACTAGAACTTTGAAATTGTGTAGTTTGAATTTTTTTCATGAATTTGCAGTATGCCTCTAACAATATTTCCAGAAACATTTCAATTTTACTGTTTTAGGCATAAACTAGAAATTAAAAAAAACATCTGAAGATAAACATCTTGTTTCACCAACTCTACATATGGAAAGTACACATCTAAATACACATATACGTGTGTTATAAAAATAATCAGAGCTGTGTAAGAGAAACGCTGGTGTCCGTGCAAACTAAGAAAACTACCGTAACCTAAAAGAAAACTAGCGTAACCTAATGCTTATTTTTCGGATCTGTAGTCTCGATTAACACTGCTTTTTGACGCTTTTTCTTTCAATTCTCTCAAAAAAAAATAAGTCAGAAAATGATTTTTTTGTTTAAAAAAAGAATTGCCGGAAAACAATCTTGAAAATTCTATTACAATTAGGATGAACAATTTCGCGGGCGGCTTCCCGGTCAATTTTCGATGCCTTGGCCGAAAATCACTACAGTAGTAAACGAAACTTATTTCTGTGGATTTAGTGGGATTTTCTGGACAAGATTTAGATTTTTCGGTATGAAAATGATCGCTTGCATCTCTAGAATCAGTTTTTCATTGAAAAACCAAACTTAATTGCAAAAGTAGCTTTAACGAGGCGAAAGTCTGAAATATTACGTTTTTGCCGCACTTTTTCGTAGATCAAAAAAGCTACGCTTTTCGAATTCTCAGGTCTCAAATTTTTTTTATTTAACAATCTACTTCTTACTTCTTACTAAGTAAGGAAACTTTTCTGTGTGTGTGTCTGTGTGTCCGTCTCGGACATTAACTTGAATAACTCAAAGGCGCGTGGGACTCCTATAGTGGTGTGTGGTATGTAGTCATGGACTGCCGAGCGCTTCATGTCTATGGTGTTCTGGGCCTTCTAGCTTATAGGGAAGCTACAGTGTTGAGAATCTAAAATTTCAAAACTATGCTCAAACTCAATAAAACTTCACGAAATTATGCAAAACGGTTTTTTGGCCTATCTATGTGTTGCCTGCATAAAATTGATCACAAATCTTCAGAACTGAAAAATTTTGAAAATTTCGTTTCTTTTGTATATCACTTGAATTTCGATCCTGTGGACTACTGGAAATGGGTCATAGTAGTTTCCTTTTGAATACAAGGTTCTCATGTTATGCAGAAAATTCCAGAACATTCCAGAAAATTCCAGAAAATTAAAGAAAATTCCAGAAAATCCTAGGCAGTTCCAGAACATTCTAGAAAATTCCAGAAAATTCCAGAACATTCTATAAAATTCCAGTAAATTCAAGAAAATTTCAGAACATTCTAGAAAATTCCAGAAACTCCCAGAAAGTTCGAGAATATTCTAGAAAATCACAGAAAGTTCCAGAATATTTTAGAAAATTCCAGAAAATTCCAGAAAATTCTAGAGCATTTTAGAAATTTCCAGGATATTCCGTTTTTTGAATGCTCAACGTAAACCCATGTTGAGGTTGAAAAAAAAGGCAAACAATTCGGAGGGTACAAAAATTCGGGGGTACAAGGGGGTACAAAGCAATTTAAGGGGTAAAAAATCCGCAATTCGGGGGTACAAAATACTGAAATACTGAAAAAGGGTCAGTTTTGTACCCCCAAACTGTGAGTTTTGTACCCCTAAATCATTTTGTACCCCTTTATACCCCCCGAATTGTTATACCCTCCAAACGTTTTGCCTGAAAAAAAGGTGAAGCGTTCTCTATAAGTATACAGGTATTGTAATCACTTCCCTATTTTTCAAGGTGATCTGAAACCAAAGGCTTAGAATTAAGGCTGTGTGTGGGTTTTTTTAATATCTGAATTTCAGAAACCTTAACAATCTGTAATCAGAAAATCCAGGAACATTCTAGAAAAAACAAGAGATTCTACATGTGGGCATCTATTCGAGAAAGTACGGTATTCAAAAATTCCGATATCGGGAAAATATAACTTTTGAAAATGAAAATACTCGGAAATTTCGGACACACGGAAAGTGGGAATTTCTGAAATTAGGAATTCAAATGTAAGATAAAGTAAACAAAACCCAGGAGGTTGAGCCCCCGGCAGGGGGCTTAAACCGACTGGTGTTCTCTGTTACAACTTCTTGTCTTGTCTAGGAATTTTTGTTTTCTACCAGACTGTACTTGGATTTGTCGATTTCTTCGAAAAAAACTTAAAAGAGCGCTCTCCGAATTGCAAAAGTCCATATTTTCTCTGTCTGCTCAAAAGTCTTCCTACATTGTATTTAACGTAGTCTCTGTTAAAATTTTCACCGGAATAACAATTAGCGCTTTGATGACATGAATGCCAAAATTTTGTGTACACAATTCCCACGCCTTGGTTGATACGAAACACATTTTTTCAGCGCAATGCCAAAGTGATTCGAATCCTTGTCCCCATCATTCTCATCTATCCAATATGCTTCACATTCTACCTGTTCCCAGCACTTGGAGTTTGCAAAACATACGAGTATCCATATTCATTTGGAGCCATATGGATTTATTATACTAATTCGATGTTTGGGGTAAGCAGTTACAGAGGAGGTTAAATGAGCCCTTTCCCATTACAGCTTCGAAACTCGTTTTTCAACTTGTGCTCCATTTTCTTTTGGCTCGTTGTTTCTGTTGTCATTAATTTCATATTGCTTGTCAAGGTTATTAAAGCGAAATCTCAAATTGTTCATCACGGAGGATCCAGTACCTCCTACAAAGCAGAGTTTTCAATTACCCTTACTACGTTGGCACTTATTGCTTTTTATGTGCTGAATGGAGTTTTTGTGGTAGGTGCATGCGCACCCGTAAAACATAATAGGAGTGCCCCTATACTGTCAAGTTTGAGTTCAATTTTCTAAGTTCTTATGCAAGGTATCAAAAATGTGTCAACTGATAGAATGTTTGTGATATTATGATAAACACGTTATCAGTTGACAACTTTTCAATATCTTCAACAGGAACCGAGATAAGTTGTCTCAAAGTTAAAAGTTTTATGTTATTTGTCTCAAGAAACCAAAAAAAGTTTACTGTTTCAAGATGTTTAAATAATTATTTCTTTTTTGTTTCGATCAATTGTCATGCTTCCGGCGAAAATTAT